CCTCTTTTTCTCATTTTGCCTCAATAGATTGCATTGGGGAAATGAAAACTGTGATGACATGTATATTTTCTAGGTGATATCTTTTTATGGTAGGCATGATGCCATTCCCCTGAGTTTTGTCAAATCTTTGTCCCATTGATTCCAATTCTTTTTCACAATCTTTCCTACCTTGTAGCGTCATAGACTTGTGGCCTTGGTCTTTGCATAAATGTCATTATATGTGTTTCTCACCAGATACTTTCATGCTTACAGTCATTTGTCATAGGCTGTTGACTCATAACTATATTTATACGAGATTTGGTTACTTGCGGTTTCGCAGTCTTAAGGAAAAGCCTGATTCCCAGCTAGTGAATGGATTCAACCTGTTTGTGATGGATGATAGGTAAGGACGTGGGTGCCATTATTATTTAATAGTTAATAAAGTCTCAAAGTGAGCTTGTGACAGTGGGAAATGTTCCTGGTTGGTAACTAGAATTCATTCTAATACAGAGGGACCTTAGTGACCTGAGTTATCTTCTCTAACTTTACACGTAGTGGAAAACAGGGTTGGAGGGATCCAGGAAAGTCTGTGGAAATGCTAAAGAACAGCCTACTTGACCTCCTGTTCCCATCTTGTAGCTGTGACTTTTCTATGAGGAACACAGGGTCTTGACACAAAGCCCATACAACAATGCTCAAAAAATGTACCCACTTGTTACCACAGATTCTGAAACTCTGCTCTTGGAGTCATGTCTTTGGGGGAAGGAAAGGGAAAAGGTTCTTATGAAGAGAGAGGGAGGGGCAGAGCCTGGGGGTGTTGAACCTCAAGTAAATGCTGATGATCATGTCATATTCTTGTGTATTAAAGTGGAAAGGAGATGAAACCCACTGGGCTGAGGCCTTGTCTTCCTTGGAATTCTGACAGTATATAAAAGACTATTGTAGATTACAGTTACACCCAAGGTCAGCTATGTAGAGAGGATTTGCCCCCAGATTTTGCATCCAGAATCTGTTAGCCCACATCTTGACTCTATCCATACTGCTTGTACAACCTTTGGGAAGTTATTAACTCTTCTATGGTTTGCTTTCTTGCTTGTAAGATGGGGCTAACCATTGTACTTCAAGGGGTACTGTGATGGATAAGTGAGCTAATATACCACTACCTAGAACAATGTCTTGTACTTAGCAGTAGTATAGAATCTTCATAATTACTGTTTTGTTGGGCACCAGCTGCCAAACATTGAGCCCATTTTTATGAAGAGAGGGTGAAAAGGTCCTTCTGAGCTTGAGATTCATTCTTCCAGTGAAATAGTCTGGGTGGGTCTTCCACTGAGGTGCATCTGATGGCTGTAGACACCCAGAAGACATGCCCTATGCTGTGGGCTGAATGAGAGAGAAGAGATGCTAGAAAAAGGCTGATGTTTTGCTAATCATTTATCAGGGTCACTAATCTCAGTACAATCTTTTCCCTCCTTGTTCACATTTGGAAAATGACAATGCCTCACCAAGGTGACTGAGGATGAGGCAATATTGGTGATATTATGCTTGTTTGTGGAAGGAAGTGGCCCTTTAGAGATGGACAGACCAAGGTTCAAGTCTTGTCTGTACAACTTACAATCTCTCTAGCTCTCAATAAATCACTTAATGTCTCAGAATTACAAATTCTCATTTACCAAATGGGCCTGCTAAAATATGCCTCCTTCCTAGGGTGTGAGTGCTAATCAAATGTGATAATGTGTCTGTGACAGCAACTTGTAAGCTGTAAAGGGTGACATAGATATGAGTTATTATTAGTGAGTCCTTTAATGCTCTCTACAAGCCAACCTGAAATTTAGCAACACCTGTGTGCTGTCATCACTTGGCTGCTGATTCTCTTTGAGCTCTTTACTCATAAGCCGGCAAGCAGTGATTGTATGCTAGGTTCTCAGTGGAGGTGCTGTCTGACCATTGGCTAGCTGATTTGGAGTTCTAATGCAGTGGCTTTCTTCTCAGACAACAAAGGATCCTTCCTGGCAGTTCTCATCAATGATTATTTTTTCTCCTTTGATTTGTAAATCACATAATATTAATAGAACAGTTTTGGAATCATGGGCTGTTATTTGTTGCAACTGTTATTCTGATAGTTGATCAAAACACTTTGGGAAACTAAGAGAATTAGAGGTTGGCCAGGGAAGAATGAATGTTATAAATCAAAACTACCTGAAGGGGATATGAGAGGTAAAGGATTAAGCCAAGTTAAGAGATAATGAGGGAAAATAGCCAAGGAGCTTGGGGAAAAAAAATCTATCTCTTTTCAGGAACAGATATTTGTGTATTATTTTGTACTGTCAAAAAAATTGACTCCAGTAAAAAGCATTTTCACTTGTAAATTCAAGTAATAAGAATAGTTTTTTCTTTTTTTTGTATACAAGTTCAATGTAGGGACTTTTGCCTACACTAGATTGACGTCTTATAAGAAAAAAGGAAAGAGGAAAGAGATGTCATTGTCACTTGTGGACAGAATCAGATGGGGTCAGACCTGTGCTCTGCTAGTCTTAGAAAACATTTTCGAATACCTTGCCTTTCAGGTCTCAATCATGAACAGGAACAGAGTGTAGAGGCAGCTTCTTAGGGAGGGCTGCATTTTCTTAAGCTTTCACCACTGCTGAAAGCTGCTGCTGATGAGTGGCTGGCACCGACCCTTGGCACAAAGTGGCTGGAGTAAATGGAATGCTGTAGGGACGTGGAACTTTGTCATCACGGAGCATATTACCAGAGAAATACAGTGAGGAACCCAGCAGGCTTCTGCAAACAACGCATCCCTTTAAGTTAATTGGTGTTATATAGAAGCTGAAATGCTTCACTTATTTACAAAGCTACAGATTTATGTAAAGCAAAACCAATTACACTTAATGCCTAAACTATTCCAGGTGCTCAATGATAATGTTGCTAGGCACTAGAGAAGCAACTGCTGTGTGACTGTGTCCCGTTCCAATGGCAGCGCATGGTGTTCCTACCATTTAGCTAATCACAAGTGGCAACCCCGATGTGAGAATTTTAAGCTTTTCTGGTGTTTGCCTTGGGTCAAATTTGTCATTCTACAGATTTTTCATCTCATATAATGAACACTTTTTTCTACTATAATGCAGAAATTAGAGAAAGGCAAAATGGTATGCGTGTGTGTGTGTGTGTGTGTGTGTGACAAGATAAGGCAGATTTTCTAATAATGAGATTGTTATACCTTTAGGTGATGTGTTTAGAGGTTTCGTGATCTTTTGAGTGTTCATGACCCCAAATTGCAACGTTGGCCTTTGAACTTTTGTAGCAGGGATAGCTTCTAAGGATGTAAGGGTCTGCCCCACAGTTTTGCCAGGGAACAAATGTTGAGCAGTGAAGGATTTGAAAACATTTCTGGGAAGAGTTTGTGCCTGTAAGAGAGTTAGTTTTCTTTCTTGTCCTACAAAAGAAAAAAAAAAACAAGCAAACAAAAAATAGTTTGACTGAGAAACACCTGGTGCTTTACAGCTGCACTTTTGCAATTAAAAATGCCTGTCATATTGTGGAAAACTGCTCAGACTGCTTCAAAGCTCAGGGCCATGAAAGGACACCTTAGCACAGGCACACAGTGGGACACAGTTATGCATCCATGACTTGACACAGATAAACACGCATGCGCTGGTTACAGTACTATGTAAGAATGTAAACATGAGCTAACAACTTGTGTAAGAATTATACAGTAAAGATGCTGGTAGCACTCGCTCTTGCTCTAGCTCTCTGCTCTGCTCCTTGCTGCCTGCTGCTGTTGCTGATGTCTTGCACACAAGTGTTCTTTAATCTTAGGAACTCACCCGAGAAAATCTCCCTTGGGCCCTCTAAGCAGGCTGACACATACCTAATCAAGTTGAATAAATCTTTTATTTTACAGATCTAAGCTATTTTATGCATATACAGGAAGGTGCTGAACTGCACAGGTAGTTGCAATCGGGTGATAAACCTTTCTATCTCCAGCATGAACTGTTCAAGAAAGCACTCACTCTCAAATTTAGGGAACATCAGAAGCACTTGCTAGGGAAAATCATCAATTCCTGGGTCACAACTTGGATAAAGCTTTGGGCTCAAGTAACCCTCACAGGGGCAAAAGTATTCTTCAGAAGCATCTGGTCCTCAATCAAACTTTGATAAATGTTGTGACAAAGATACAGGATGTTAGTTTTATTTCATTAAAGTAACAAGTTTACAAATTTCTTGGCTTATAAAGGAACATGATTTTTTCAAAGTATATTTAAATTGGTAACCATGGAGACAAAAACGATGTCATGTGGGCTAGCAGATCTCTCTAAGCATCTTTTTTTGTTCCTTACTCCCTTCTCAGTATACATTTGACCTGCTATAATTTTCTTCTTTCCTTTAGCCACAAGAAATCTATCATCGACATTGACTTTTCAATTTCATCAGTACGTGGATAGTTTTTATGGATCTGTTTTAATAATAGTACTTTTGAATTCAGAGAAAATTTTTTAAATAAAGTTGTATCTTGATAGTATATTATCCAGGATAAAAAATCAAATATAGCAGAATCACAGTTGCTTATTATAATTTACTCACATATATAGAGGGTACGGTCACAATGCCTAGGATACAGTATAGGGTCAGCCTACCAGAAGAAAGAATATTACCATACTGTTCATTTTCCTGTAATCGCTGCTCAGAACTCTAAAAAATAGTCTTTTATGTTGCATGTAATGGTTAAGCTATTGTAAAAAGTTGTATAATATTACTGGCAGATAGTGAACTGTCATTTCTGGCTATAGAGTAATTGCCTAGACTCTGAAATTATTTTATTAATTTAGTAGATTGCATCTTAATACAAAAGCATAATAGCTTACTGGGAAGGTCATAATTTGTCTTTGTTAATGAAGTATACAGATTATATTTACCAAGTTACTCTTTTATATATTGATTCCTACTAAAATACATAAAATGTTAAATTGAAGTAAACAATGAATACTGTCTCCATAAGACCGGTAGAGGCAAATATAGTTTCATAAGGCTGTCTCCCCAAGATCAATACTTGAAGAAATTTCCTGTATACTGCCATAAACTTTCAGAGACTTTTCATGGAGAAGAAGTGTTTCTTCAAGATTATTTCCACTGATGTTCTGAGCATTAAAATGATTTAGACTACAATATCTAAAGAAAGAAAGAGAGAGAGAGATTTTCTTAGGACCAGATGTAGATGATTTCATAAATCATTTGCTTTTCTCCAGTGCTTGTCTGCCCTTTATGATAGGCTCGTAGATACTGGCACAACAACGATGATTATTTAAGAGCTCTGCTCACCAGAACAGTCTTTAAAATAGGACAAAAAAGCTTCCGTGCATACTAAGGCTCGTATAAGGACCTTTAGATGGTGCTGTCTTACAACCTGAAGTGAATCTCTTCCATGCCCACAGTGAGAAAGACATGGAACCCTTCGGCTTTACAGTGTCGTAGCTGCCAGGATTCATAAAGGCTCATCAGATTTACTGGGCTTTTGTAAATTTGGTTCTGAGACCACTGTTGGAGAAGGAGGCCATGCCTGTATTTCTAAAATGTTCACCTTCCACTCCCAGTGCAAGAAGGACTTGCCTTTCTGGAGTGTTCTCTAAGTACCAGGCACTGTGTTAGAGTGGGATGGAATCATCTTCATTTTATGGATTGGAAAACTGAAATCCCAAAAGGCAAACAACTTTCTTCAGGTTCATGTAAATAGCAGTTGATAGAGACAGGCTTTGGAACTAGAACTTGATTACTCCAAATCCTGGCTGCTTTCTGTTATGATACACTGCTCTAAAGAGACATTATTTTCTTAATCATATTGGATAAGATTCAGGAGGATAGGCATTTTAGAGTGCTTCCTTCCCTGTTTTGTTCGTGATGCCTGTTCAAGTTCCTGGTGTACAGCAGATAGTCAACACATATTTATTGAATATACAAAGGAATATGAGCTCTACAATATTATAGTCTTACCAAATGTAAGTCTCTGGGGTCAGACCTCTACATTTAGCTCATGAAGGTTTCAGAAAGGTAATTTTGCCTTTTTTGCTAAAAATAACTGGAAGAGAATGAAGGCTGGCTGAATAACTCTGGCTGTTTGTCTCTGATTTATGTTGCTTTTAACAATTGTTTGAAATTATACATAGATGATTACTGATACCTTTGGAACAATGAGTACAGTGAGGGACAGTGGTCATGTTATAAAAAACAACCTTCTCTTGCCCTTTCCCTCTGAAACAGCTCTAATTTCTTTTTATTTTTGCAACCATTGTGGGGTACATATTTATATTAAGCGCTGTAGATATGTTTACTTAAACTTTTCAGCAAGGGAAATACATTTTGTTTGCTTACTTCCTTTGCACCTAAATTGGAGAGTTGTGAGTATGATATCTCACTTTCAAATTTGATTGAGGAGGACTTCATTCGAGTCAAAGGCTCTGAAAGGTTTTTGCTTGTTAATGCAAGAGGTAAGTCTGGTATGCCACTTGGAGGTAGTTTTTAACTCTACTTGAGGTAGTGTCCCAGTGACCCTGAGAAGATTAATATGTTTCTAACAATTACACTGAAATTGTGTCACATTAATATAAGCTCAGTAGTTGAGTGCTCTTGGGTACAAACGGACTGATATTAACTGTACATTAGTGAGGATGTTTCATCACTTTCTTCAAAATATTGGGTATAAACATAAGCCAGGACTGCTCTGTTTTAGACACTTTGCCACAATGGCCTGGCTCTGAATAAATATTTAGGTTGGACAAAAATTGGATTGTGACAGAATATGTACTGAAATCAATTCTTAAAATTATAAATAACATATTTCAATAATATCATCTCTGGGACATGGGTGGTGTTATGGTTTGTGTCTAGTTATCTCCCCAAAGCCTCATGTAAGTTATGGGGTAGATGTGGCTGGCGGAGCACTGAATGGCTTGAGGGGCGGGGCCAGAGGACTAAGGCGGGGCCCGAGGGGCGGGGCCAGAGGTGGAGAGGCGGAGCCATTAAACTGGCTAGCCTGTGCTTTCTCAGAGATGTGCAAAGGATCATCCTGGACACTGCAGCACCTCAGCCTCTCCTCCGGTGTCTTGAAGCCTCCAGTAACTGTGAGCTAAATAAACCTTTCCTTCCCCCATTTTGAGTGTCTGGTATTTGTCCCAACAATGAGAGAAGAGTAACTAATACAGGTGGTTTCTCCTATTTCTTTGTACATTTACTGTATTCATCTAGAGAGGGGAGTCTCCATCTTCTGCATGCAGATCACAACAGGCTTCAGACACCTATGAGAATCTAATGCTGCAGTCGATCTGACAGGCACTCGGGGTCGGTAGTAACAGAAATGACAGGAGTTACTGGAAACACAGGTGAAGAACAGAACACCAACTGGTCCTGCTTATGGCCTGGATTTGGGTTCCCCTGGGCTATTTAGTCCCATATCTTTGGTTCCTCCAATCTCTGGTGCTTTTTCTATTTTCATTCTTCTCTGGACTCCACACTAGCATCTCTTCCTTATGTATAGGGACTCACTTGCTCAACCATCACAGAGCAAGCCTCACAATGGAATATTCTAATTTGAACATCAGTGTTAGTTCCATGTCACCTGGCATTTTACTTGGTTCAACTCTGTTCCACCAGTGCATGGAATACTGTTGAGCATGTTGGCTGAATGCATGAATGACTGAATGCCTGAGCTCACTAATTCTGGTTCTAGGGCAAGTTATACTTGAATTTAATCCATAATTAATGTCTTTCAGTTATGCCTCAGCATCACTTTAGAAGAAGAATTGTAAAAAGGAGAAAGAAGGAAGCAAAGGTCAAATCAAGGGCATTCATTATTATTATTATTATTATTATTATTATTATTATTATTATTATTATTGATAATATTGGAGACTTTGATCATCCTCCCAACAGCCTCCTGGCCCTATTACTGTTTTTTTTTTTTCTTGTGGAACCAGGGATTGAACTCAGGCCCTTGTGATTGCCAGGCAGGCAGGCAGGCTCTTATTCTACTGAGCCATCTCCCCGCTCGAATGAAAGAGGCTTAGTGTGGTTAAACAGTTGCTGAAGTTTATACAGCCAGTGCATTGTAGAACTGGCTTCCATTATACTGACTCTGGAGTCTGCCTTTTAAGCTATGTCATGAAGAAGGACAGGATTAAAAACTAAAACTGGGAGATAGTACAGGTGTATTAGTCACCTTTCTGCCACAGGGACAAAATACTTGATACCTGCAACTTAAATGAGGAGAGGCTTATTTTGGCCTATCATTGCAATCCAAGCTTGACTGCTTCAAAGGCAGAAATATCATAATAGAAGGGCATGATGGAGGAAATAAATTTGCCTAATTTGTGGTAGCCAGGAAGCACTGAGCAGTGGAAAAGCTGGAGAGTAAGGAAGGGTCCAGGGACCAGATGGAGTCCCAAAGGCCTGCCCTGTGACTCGTCCAGCTGCACACTGCAATGCCTTACTAATCTCATCGCTCTCCCTCAAGTCAGTCGAGTTGGTGGCCAAGAAGAGCCATCATAGCAGGTGTAGGTGCGTTGGGTGAGGAAATGGGCAGTGGACAGAGCTGTGTCTTCACTTCATCTTTCATTCCTGGATTTGTTTACAAAGCTGAGGAAATCCTTGTTGGCTTACTCAGCAAGACTCTTTGATTCTCTAATTTCCTTCCAACCTAAAGATGAGGCTGGCATTTAAGGAAATTATATATAATAGAAGATCATTTTGCTTTCCTATAGTTTGGAGGGTAAGAAGCATACAAATTTAGGGTGGTGCTAAGGCTTTGAATTTTGTCACCCATCTGCCTTGCACAGGGTATAAGTGTCTTCTGTCCTGGAGCATGTGCTTCACAAGAAAAGTAATATAGCTGAAGCTGAGTATTTGCTGATTTCCTTTGTAGTAAACTTTGGTATATTATACTACCTATCAAATGACTGGTGTACCAGAAGGGATTTGTTAGAAGCATAAAAGAATTTTGGCAAGGGAGAAGTGACAATGAGTGGGATGATTTATGACTAAATACATACATGAGTGAAACAAAAAGAGGAAAATGAAAATCTGTTTCATTTCCAGCAGTCACTGTGCTTAACGCTTGCTCAAAATTCTTTCCCAAACCCTTAAGAGGTTGGGATTATTGTTTACTTTTTTAAGTATGTGTATAAGAGATCCTCAGAGTGGTTAGGCAGTTTAGTCCAAGCATACGCCCATCTAAGAATATGTCAATGGGGGGGGGAGAGGGAGGAAGGAAGGTAGTAGGAGAGAGCTCAATAAGGCCTAATGATGAATGGATGGTAGATAATACATATTAAGCCACCGACTGGTCTCAGGTGATTGGCTAAGGGATTTTTACACAGTCTTTGATTGATCTTGAAATGCTCACTGTTGATTTAAAGGCCTCAATGAGATCCTAATCTCGAGTCACTAGATTCCTAGTTATTTGTTTAATGATATTTGCTTTTAACGGTAAAAGCATTCATTCTTATTATCAATATGGTCATTTCTTATTCTAAGTGATGCTAAATAATGGAAAAATGTCTCTTATTTTGTAACATGTTTCAAACTGAGTAAAGCACTATTTTATTATGAGGATCTATGGAAAAGTGAAGACTAAAATAAAATTTCTTGCTCTACATAATTTGTTAAATTTTTGTAATATGGTAATTTGTCCAGTCATGGTCTGTGGGGTTCTCATTGGCTCACTGGTGGTTTTCAGACCACTGTTTAATGGATTTAGAAATTGTGCATCTTACCGTACAGTTCCGTACCTCCGTGAGACACTCCAGAATCCCAGGACATTCAACAGTGTTAATGACGCCAGCAGGAAGAAGAAACTTTCTAAATTGCCTTTGTTTAATGTGTTTGGAAACCAATTGCCTGTTTGGAAGAAATGCAATTATTATTCAACTGCTGAATCACAAGTTTCAGTGAATATTTTTATCATTTCCCAATTCATAGAGCTTTATTCACTTCCATAATATATTCAAAGCAAAAACAAAACAAAAAAACTCATTTGAAACTTCATTGTTAAAACTCATTTAATTCTCTGATTGCTGATAAAATGATAAACAAAGTACCCTCAAATATTTTGAGGTTCAACAACGTTAGCAGGGGTGTAAAGGTTATTTTGATTATGCTATTAACTTGTAGGAGCTGTTTCTTTTATTTATTCTTATACACATAGTACTAGAATAGTGCCTAGGAGCCTGGGGGCTGTTTGATAAATGTGTACTCAATGAATGAAAAATATTTTCCATCATCGAATAGTCTGTTCACATATTAATTGCAATGCAATTGAGATAATACATGTAGATGATAGCTATTAGGTTATTTTGAAAACTTAGATAAATGCAGGATTATCTTACAAAATCACTGTTCCTATTGGTAAATTGCTTCACTCTCTGATTGGCATGGATATTTTCTTTTAACCTGGTGAATAATTCCTTCTACTTAACATCCTCTGATAAAGGATTCACGTTTCCTTATGATACTAAACTGAGTTCATATGCAACTATTCAGGATTCAAGGCAATTTAATTCACTCCTAAGTATTTACTTTTTCTTTGGATCTTTGCCATAATCTTCTCTTTTATCACATCAATATCTACACCTACATCTATGCACATACTCAAATTTTGTTCAGTGGATTTTGAGGTACTGTGATTCAATTATTACACAAATTATAATTCATTACATATATTCAACCCTTATTTTAGAAAATACTAGAAAAACAGTGGTGGTGTCTAGTATTGCAAGGTATATTACCTATACTTCGTATTATATAATATTTAAAATAAAAAGAATATGTCTTTATGAAGCGAGCTTAATTCAGTTGGAGTACTGAGTGAGTAGAATATTTCTGAAAATATTATGCATATGAAAACATGAACCAACCATCTTTAAACTTTCAAATGCCAGTGTTTTAGCATTTTCTTGCCCCTTTAAAGGAAAAACTCCTAAAATGCTTTGTAAAGATGAGTTTGGGGCCGGAGTAATCACTCTATGTGCCAGCAGAATTGATTTTCTGTGCCATCCTAGCCAAATGGGTTGTGGGTTGCTTTGTGAACCAGAAAATGTTTTTTGGCTTCTTCCTTGACAGTACATACTTTCAAGTGGGATCTAAATTAAATGCTGTGTTCAAGGTTGACAGTCAGCAAGTGCCTAAGTATGACAGCTACGATTTAGTTGTGTCACTTCCCACAGAAACCTGTTCTTCTTCTGTCATGTAACTTCCCAATGGCCATTAGTGTGGGTTAAATATGAAAATTATCTTGTGTCCATTATGGGCTTGAACCCATCAATAAAAGTTGGTGCTGAGTTGAGAGGTATTTTGGAAGTTCCACTACTTCATTTTGTTTATTTGCATTTGTTACAAAGGAAGTTTTCATTGTCTTGTGGCATTACCTGATGTCTCCATCTGGGGCTTAGATGAGTAGATTCTCTGAAGGTTGTCCCATCTGTCTGTCTCTCTCTATTCCAGATATTGTGTGCTCTTAACTGTGTGTAGGAACTAGATATTTGGTTGTAGTTGTACTTGAATGTGGGGAATTGTGATGGAGGTCAAGATAAGGTTAGGTAACATCCCAGTTATTTTCAGAAAGAATTAAATCATCCTGCTAAGCCTATTCAAATAGTCCTATTTTCTTTTTTTCTTGAATTAATATCCCAATCGTATTTCTGTCCTTTTCATTTCACATCAGCACTTTGCATGTCGTGCGATTACACCATTTTATTACCATGTTTCTCCGACTAGAGTGAGAGGAGTTTGCAAGGCGTATGTGAAGCCTAAGAATTAACATGACATTAATTCTTCTTGGAGCATGAATTTTGGTCCATAAGAGGTAATTGAAAATACTCTCTTTATATTATAACAAAGTCAGATGGGGGAGAAGAATATAAATTTTGTAAGTTCTTTAAAGGTAAAACATAATATTTCTAAGAGATTGTGCAATTACAGCAAATCCTATAATTGAGGAGACACTACCAGGTCCCCTGGGTATGCCAGCGTTCTTGTGTCTGTCTTTGGGGATCCTGAGGCTATCCCCAATGAGAAGCTCTGGGGCTTGGTCATGTGATGACAGGACAAGAGGCTGATGTGCTGAAAAGGTTGGAGAAAGGTAGTAGAAATTCAAAGGTCTACGAAAAACATTTTGAGCATGTGGCAATTTAAAAAGCAAAATAAAAGATTCACATTTCACCTACTAAAATTCCTGATAACACCCCATATTCTTCCTTAAATATCATTTTTTAAAAAAAGAATATCATTTTGAGTATTCAACTTTCTCCCTGATGCTGGTCTCAGGGTTGGGGATTTGGCTCAGCAGTAGATCACTTGCCTCGCAAGTTGGAAGCCTTGGGTTCGGTCCTTGGCACCAAAACCAAAAAATAAACCTCTCCTAAAAAATAATTCAACCAAAATAATGAAATAAAAAAAGACCAAAACAAACAAGGCAAGCGCATAATACTGGTCTCATTTAAATGCAACTCTTCCTGCTTTATTAAACTATAAATTAACGTTTTCTGTACATCTAATGTACATGGTTAACTCTAGGGTCAAGGGAAGGCATAGAACGGGACAAATGCCAGTGTCAATTTGGACAGAGTGATTCTTCATGAGACCTAAAAACTGCAGTATCCGTATAGAAATTGGCTGTCTAGCTAAAGAGACAAATTTGATATAGAAAGATAGAGAAAGAACATGGGCTTTGGGGCAGACAAACTTTTGAGGCCAAATCTTGTTTCCATTATCCCACAGCTTTGTTACTGAGCAAATAATTGGATTATTTAAGCCTCAGTTTCTCCTCTCTGAAATGATGGTGTTGACACCTCCTCACTAAATTATAATGAGAAGTAAGAGAGAAAGTGACAGCTAAGGGCTGGGCACAGAGCAGACACTCTGGAAACATTAGCTCATCACCGCCTCCTGTCCTTCTTGAAGGCAGCTCACAAAAATCAGGTAACCTGAACTTGCTCTCGAGCTTGTTTCCTGTCAGATATTTCTTGTTCTGTGGGCCATTTTTTTTTTATCATTATCCCAGGACTGGTTGTAAAATGTTCCATTTAACATTGTCAGTTGACTCAGCTCTTAGGTACTATAACTTTATTTTAGTAGCTTATAAACTTTTATTGTCGTAATTCACACTTGTGCCATTTTTCATCTGACATTTCTAGGAGCTGGTTGAAATCAAGAGCATCCTTGCAAAGGGAGACAAAGTGAGGACTCTAGGTCTAGAATGAAGCTGGCTAAACGCCTCCAGAACTCAGCTTACGTAAGCAGGAAGATTCACAACAAGAGAGAAACTGGGCCACGGACAGGGCCGGCTGGCTTGTTCACTACATGGCTCACAGGGAGCTGGGTTTTCTACCTTATTAAGTGTACTATTAGTGTAGCCAACCAGTTAGTACCGAGTATTAGATCACTGCAGTTATAGAGCACTCATAAAATAACCTTCTTCAGAATTCTTTTAAATAGCTTTTGCTCATCTTGATTTATTTATTCATTTGAAAATGATTTTAGGGGAAATTTTTTCTCGTGCAAGGAAGTGCACATTCCAAGTTACTTAAGAGAAGATCACAGATTAGTTAGGGATGGTCTGACAGTAAGGATTAGACTTCATAGATGTTAAGTGAAGTGTTTCTATTTATCTTGAATTACTGTGGTCATTGTAGGGACAAAAAGACTGTAGCATCCTATGGGCTAGTTGTTTTGTTTTACAAATAAAATAGTGCTGGCAAGTGAAGCAGCACTCAGCAGAGTCCTCATCTCCCCACACTTCCAGCAGTAACATAGGCCCTGGCTGGGGCCCGGAAATGACCATTACCATTTCCTTCAACAGCTTCTCAATGGCTTAAGTGTATGTGGATAGTGATCTTTCAAATGCCTTATCTCAATTGGTTTCTAAAACCCCTAATACCACCTTTCTACCCAAACCCTGGGGCTCTCCTGCAAGTGACCATGGGTTTCTTAGCATAATTTAAACTAAATTCAAAGCTTTTGCATCTCAATACAGAAATATATATGGTGATAGTATAAATAACATGAAATGGAAAATAGAAAAGCAAAATATACTTTATTGCTCTCTAAATTTCCTATATTCTATAGTCTAAGATTTCACATCTTTGAGTGAAATCTTTCACTGCCTTGATGTCTTTGAGCCTTATGGGGTACCATAGTCTAAATGCATGTTTTCCAGTTCTTGTTAGACATTCTCCCTACTTAGAGGCAAAGTCTCCTCACCTTCGCCAGGTCAGCCACACTCTACTGAGGTCTCAGCCAGACTTCTCTTCCCTGCTAGCCCTCAAGATTAGCGGAACAAACCTGTCTTAGTCACTTTTCTCTCATCAATGAGACAAAATACTTGCCACCTAAAGTTAAAGGGTGTACTTGAGAAGTTTAGAAGTTAATAAAGTGACTCAGCAGGGAGCCAGGATTCTTACTTTTAAACATCGTCATCCTGTGCAAGAGGAGGTCATGGACATTGCGGGATTTCTACACCCCCAGCCCAAGGGTAGCTTGTTTATAATATAAGAAGGGGAGAGGGGCTTGCTAGAGGCTGCATCTGCTGCCCTTCCCTTTGCTCTTTGCTGTTTTCTACTGCCATGAACTGCTGCTCTCTGCCATGTGCCACTTTGCCTGGGAGCCAACTGAGTAAACTGAAACCTCCATTAACTATGAGCTAAATAAACCTTTCCTTCCTTCATTTTGGGTGTTGGGTATTTGTCCCGGCAAGGAGAGAAAAGTAACTTGAGAAAAAGGATAGAAGGTTTATTCAGCTTGCAGTTTGTAGAGGCTTCAGTCTGTCATTGGCCGGCTCCAAGGCAAGGCAGGCTGGCAGACAGGCATCACAGAAGAGAGAGAGTTTATGGTCGGCAGATGGT